ATAATATACTATATACATATATATATATATATATATATATATATATATATATATGTCTATATCAACATAGCAATATATCAGTATATCAATACTCTAATATAACAATGTATATAGACAAATATCCACGTCCTCTCACACACCGCTCTACTTACAGTATGACGCGTGCACATGGTCGATACTCGCAATGAGATGCACCCGTGACTCCCGTGCGAGCTCAGCCAGCAGCGCCTGGTCTTTCTTGCTTCTGATGCCCACACCGTCGATGTTGTGGATGATGAGAAAGAGATGCTCGCCTAGACTGGCGTCGAAATTGGCCTGGAACGACATACCACAAAGGTGTAACATGAAAGGTAAAATGAAAGCAATGACGATGTCGGCTAACAATTCATGAGATTGTAATTTGCACTCGGTCTAGACATAGTGAGTGATAGATTTTCTAATAAGCGGCGTCCGGTATTAAATTCAATTTGTTTCGGCTATATGTTTGACAGCATCACTGACTATAGTTTTAAAGATGTCACGTCATACTGTTCAGGTTGAAGTCACGAAGTGAGATGGTTCCAAAGCTAGGAAGATAAATATTTCAAGAGGCAGACGCCTATGTACATGACCAACCAGCACAACCTCGCGCCGTCTGGCATCATTTCCTTGATTAGCCTCAGAAAGCAAAGATACATCAAACTACAAACAAACAACAAGCACAACCAGTACTTCCCTTGTATCCCTTGTGGACGTTGTACCGTTTGAAAATAAGAAAGTACAATTGTATACAAAATCATTGGGTATACATACACTACCAACCATGTAATACTACCTTGTGTCCCTTGGAGACGTTGTACCGTTTAACCATGGCAAGGTACCGTGAATATACCAATCAGAAGTCATTACATCTTTAACAACGCTGTGTCTGTACCGTTGTACACACAAGCATTGAGTATACATACACTACCAACCATGCAATACTACCTTGTGTCCCTTGGGAACGTTGTACTGTGTCGCCATTAGAGTCGCCGACTCTTGCCTGAAGTGGCGTTTAATCAGCGCCAGTTGGTCAGCCGGTTGTCGCGACACTTCGGTGTATCCAAACATCTCCGTCAGCACTTGGTTGAGAATCTGAAATCAGACGTGTATACCGTTAATGTAAGACCTTGGATGGATATATACATTGAACAAAGTGAGTTAAAGTAGGGGATCTCAGACGGAATTTGACCCCGAATTGAGAACTATGGTCTTTGTACGATACATGAATAGGTCTACTCTGCTCGTGCTTGTCCCTATACACGTACACACCCCACTACTATAGCGCTCCGTACACCCACCTTGCCTACGGTGATATCCGGATGATAGCCCAGCACATACACCATCTTGTACTTGGCCAACTCCTGCTGCGAATACCGCACTAGTAGGTCTCTCTTCGAGCCCAGGCCACACACCAGCACGCTGCTCTGGTTGACCATTGCCATCGTCCAGGCATTGAACATGCTGCTAGCACGTTGCGTAAGCCGTTCAATCTCGTCTTTGTGCTTGCGTTCTTTGAGCACGATCCGATTCACTTCTTGGTGTGTGATGGGTTTGAAGGACCTGTGTATCGGATGTATAGTAATTGGTACGTAAGAAATGTTCGGTACTGATGCAGTTTGTGTCGGTCTTGGCATATGACTGTAGACGACACACATACATACATATACATATATACATATATATATACATACATACATACATATATATATATATATATGTGTGTGTGTGTGTGTGTGTGTGTGT